TATGTAAATTGTACACCCAGTATAACTAATGAGTAGTCAAGTCATACCTGGCTTTGCTTTCACTAACAACTGCCACGTAACATCTTATAATTACATTTACTTGGCACAAAGTCTCACAACAAGGGAGGAATGAATAATGAATAAATTTATTTAAGTACATCTCCTTAATGAATAATCATTTTAGTAAATAAAGTGCCCACACAAACATTATCTCCACCTTCTTCCACCCACAATAAGTTGCATACGAATTCTTCGCACAACACCAGCGTTTAAGGCACTAACATCCATGTCAGAGCGCATGGTAGTGCAGTCATCCATAGTATTCCCCCCGGGAACTTATGGTTAGGGTTCATACATCCCAACAAAGCTACCTATACTCAGCAATTGCTACTCACATAGGTTCTGCTATGGTAACTACCTATGCGACATTCTATTAGACCTGCCCACAGCATAACACCATATGGGAGGGAATTTAAAACAGTGCACCTGTAGACCAGCACAGTTTTATATCCCAATAATTTTATAGTCCAGTACATTTCAGTTGACATACTTTATTTTCATTTTTAGTACACATAACGTTGGCACCTGTGATTTCTTTGACCTTTCTATCTTTAAAAACTGGCATTTTTTATTACTTTGGTGGATATACACACATATTACCATCACAGCTACTCCAGGCATTTCTCTACGACTTATTACATGTATGTTCTATTGCAATTGGTTTTTGTGTATAGCAAAACTCTTTACCCTTGGTGTAGTGTCACTCTTATAAATGGCTGTATTTAACTCTTATGCCTGAATAAAAAATGATTGACAAAATAAATAAATCAAACGAAAAATAAGAGTTGGTATTTTTCCAATATAAAAAGCAAGGTTTCGGCTTTGAGTTAACAGATTAAGATCTGAGTGACTTTTACAAGGGCCAAATAGTGATGACTAGACAACTGGGTCAGAGCATCCAAAAAAAGGTAAAACCTAATAATGCAGTGGTGCAAGGAGGGACAACCAGCGAACCTGTGTCAGGGTTATCGGTGCGCAAGGCTTATTGATGCAAGTGGGGAGTGAAGGCTAGCCTGTCTAGACCAGTCACACAGAAGTGTTACTGTAACTCAAATGAAAAACGTTAATGCTGGTCATGATCGAGAGGTGTACCTTCAATGGGGATGTGAGCATCAAAACTGGACCGTGGAGCAATGGAAGAAGGTTGCCTGGTCTGATGAATCATGTTTACTTTCAGATTAGGTGAATGGGTTGGAATAAAATATTCCTTTTGCAAGCCAATCAAAAGCGCCCCTGCCCGGCCACGGAATCTGAGAATCCAGAAGCCGGATGCATCCGTGTGGTAGTAGACATCACCACTGGAGGCAACTTTAGGGTTAGACTGTTTGAGAATAGTTTATCTCCTTCAGGTAGGAATGCCTCTGGGGTCCTCCTGGCACCATAACAACCTGATTTAGATGGAGTTGTTTTGATGCCTGGAGTGTCTTTTATCTGTGAGAGTTATTTCTGTGGAGATCCATCTCGTGTACACACACAAAAAAAAAAAAAAAATAAACAATGCTAAGGTTTTTCACTAAAGTCTGAATTCTCCTGGTCTGTATCATCAAAAATTGTCTGGTGCCCTCCTGAGACATTTCGATTGCAAAATTCATACATTGTACTCAGGAGTTATCAATGCCTGGATTTGCAATACAGCTGTCTAATTAGATTGAATGTAGTCTGGTTGCAACTGAATGCCCACCCAGAATCCCTTGCAGTACTAACATCACTGCAAATGTGAGATTTCTGTGGGAAAAGCAAGTCATATGGCTTGACTGGTGTGCAGATCTGTGTTAGACAATGGATTTACTATCCACTGACTTTTTTCTATTTACTATTTCACTCACTTTTCCCCCCACCATAACTTTATTGGTATATATATATATATATATATATATATATAAAAACAGAGAATGAACGCACTCAGGGACTTGTAAATATCACTAAAACTTAACTTTTAATGTTCAAAATAAATCAACGTTTCAGCCCCATATTTGGGCTTTCATCAGGATGGTAAAAAAACAGTTTTTTTACCATCCTGATGAAAGCCCAAATATAGGGCTGAAACGTTGATTTATTTTGAACATTAAAAGTTAAGTTTTAGTGATATTTACAAGTCTCTGAGTGCAGTCATTCTCTGTTTTTCTATGCTATTTGCCTGACCAGCACCGGGCACATTATTTACCTATTCCAGGAGTGCAAGCAACTTTGTATTATATATATATATATATATATATATATATATATACAGGGCCGGTGCAAGGATTTTTGCCGCCCTAGGCAAAAATGATTTTGCCGCCCCCCCCACCCATATGTCCTGCCCACCATGTGACATCACAATGCCCCGCCCATATGCTCTGCCATATGGGCCAACGCCAGTCTTCACAAAGTGTCTTTTATCTGAAAAGACAGTGTGTTTACATTAAAAAGCCTACTGGCACAGGCTATAGACACCAGAACCACTACATTATGCTGTAGTGCTTCTGGTGACTATAGTATCCATTTAATGTGAGGTAAATTAGAGATTAGTGCCACTAATAATATATTGGATTGCCTACTTACCACCAGATGAGGACAAGAGGCTGATGATGGGCTCTGTCTGGCTCCACAGGTCTGGTGTAGAAGAGGCTCTCTGGAGACTGTTTTTAACAGTGCTCACAACAATTAACGAACAGGAAGCAGCTCCATTTTTTAGGGCCCCTTACACAGCTCAAGGTCTGGGCCCCCAGGGCTTGACCGTGAGTATGCCTACAATGCCCACCCATAAATCCACCTACATGGCCCACCCGTGAGTTCTCTCACAGGAAGTGGAGTGTATGTGTGGAGGGGATGTTTTATGTGTTATTGTAGAGGATGCAACGTGTGTGTGTTCTTATAGAATGTAGTGTATAGGGATACCAATTTCTGTAAGGGATGTAGTGTGTTTATAGGGGATGCAGTGTGTGTTTGCGTGTAAGGAATGCATTGTATGTTTCTGGGTGTGTGTGTGTGTAAGCAGGGCCGGCACCACCTGTAAGGCGACCTAGGCAGCCGCCTAGGGCGCACCTTAGCAGGGGGCGCCGGATCCCTGCGCCCGGCGGCTCCTCATGCTGCGCCGCCTGAGCGCTTTTACAAGCCTCAGGCGGTGCAGCACTGCTGTGGAGGGCGGCCGGATTTGAGTGACCGGCAGGAGGGAAGCGCAGAGCGCTCCCTCCTGCCGGTCTCTCAATGTAGCGTGGCCGGGCAGCGCGGGACGCGGGACAGGAACCTCTGTTTCCTGTACCCGGCCGCCGGCGGACTGACAGGAAGTTTTCACTGTGTAAGGGGTGCAAGGTGTGTTTCTGTGTATTTAATTGAATGCAGTGTGTGTCTGTAAGGGGTGCATTGATTGTGTAAGAGATGCATTTTGGTTCTGTGTGTAAGAGAATGAGTTTGTGTGAACGTAAGGGATGCATTGTGTGTTTCGGGTGTGTGAGTAGGAATGCATTGTATGTTTCTGTGTGTGTGTGTGGGGGGGGGATGCATTGTGTATGTGTGTAGTGTAAAAGAGAGGGTTTGTGGGGTAGGATAGGGACTGAGAGGGGAGCATTTTTTAAATTTTTTGCATAGTGCTCACCCTCCTGTCAATTATTGATTTCCCCTTCCCTCCTGTCCCTTAGTGCTCTCCCTTGGCCCCCTGTAGTCCCCCCTTGGTGGTCTTCTCACTCCCCCTTAGTGGTCCTCCATCCCTCCCCTTAGACATTCCCCTCCTCCCCCCACCCTCTTAGTGGTAATCTCCCCCTCCTTAGTGGTCCTTACCCTCCTCCCCTCTCCTTAGTGGTCCACCCTTCTTACCCCCCTTTGGTGGTCCTCCCTCTCCCAAACCCCTTAGTGGACCTCCCCCCTCCTCCCTCCGTGGTCCTTACCTCCCCTCCCTCAGTGGTCCTTACCTCCCTTCCCTCAGTGGTCCTTACTCCCCACCCCCTTCCCCAGTGGTTCTTACTCCCCCCTTCCTCCTCCAGTTGTCCTTACTCCCCCTCCTCCCCAGTGGTCCTTACTCCCCCCTCCTCCCCCCAGTAGTCCTTACTCCCCCTCCTGTCCTTACCTCCCCCTTCCCCCGTGGTGGTCCTTATATATAATTGTGATCGAGTTACTGTAGTATTAGTAGAAAATAGCTCATCTAAAATGAAGTAACCTAGTGGACTGTTTGTAGTTGCTCCCCAGGTCACATGCAGCTAGTCCTCTCCTGCCTCTTCTGTAGTTATGTCATTGACAAGGGCAATGCAATTCCAAGGCAAAATAGACAAGCTAAAATAATGTATGTGTTGTAAATTGTGTTCTAGTCCAGTATTTCTGTTTTCTTTACATGATACTCTTCAATTCCCTTTTAGTGTATAATCCGTTATGCGTTTTTATGCAATCAGATTTGGTGTAATACTGTAATTCAGAACTGTTACATTTTAGTTATTAATCTTCTATTCTCTCATAGCCACAAAAATAATAAAATAGAAGAGGAGGGGGAAGTCATACAGTTTCCTGCCCTAGCTTGAGGCAGTCGGAAGATGACGTTAGTTCTTCATATCAGGAAGGAACACAGTGTTCTGAAGGGTCCTTCCCACATTCCATTCATATCTCAGTGCTCCAAGTCTGGGGTCCTTTCTAGAAGGATATGGTAGACGCCAGTATGTCCCACTTTAACACATCTGGCTTATGATTACAAAGGAGTGACACAAGGAACCAAAACATCAGAGTTTGTTTACAAATTACATGTTCGAGATAAGCTCTGTGGAATGTGTTGTACTATACATATAAATCATTATAAAATGCAAGTTAGAATATGTATTACTTAACCTATATGTTATCTTACAACTTGTCTAACAAAACAAATACAAAACAAAACAATAGAATATAAAAAATATAAAATACATGCTATAATATGAATATTGAAATAGGGATATAAAATGCAAGTTAGAATAGATTATACGTAATATAATTAAAACAGAATATCAAATGCAAGTTAGAATAGATTATACGTAATATAATTAAAACAGAATATCAAATGCAAGTTAGAATAGGTTAGGGTTCTATAATGTTCAAACTTAATAGATAAAACTGTATTGATAGGCTTCATTGGAAAAAAATGTACGAGAAAAATGTGTGTTTTATTCTAAATTTAATTCAAATCATATATATTTAATCTGCTATGATTGATAGTTGCTTATTTCAGTAGAATTGTAAAGATTTACTGTGTGTTTTTTGTTAAAGTTGACATCTGAAATTTCTGCATTACAGTAGATGTCCACAATCAAGCTGTTCTGGAGCTGTATACTGGATCATCTGGAAATGTATTTCGAGATAAAGTTTAGTTGTCACCTAAACACATTTCAGTCCTTGGTTTTGACTTTTTAGTATCACTAAATCACTGTATTATAAAAAACCTTCAGTTGTTTAAAAGTGCATAGGGATTTTGGGTAGTGCACAAGTAACTCTTTTTTATGGTTTTTATGGAATGTATTGGGGATGATGTGTACTATAGTCATTTCTGCCGCCCAGGAGTAGTGGGAGTTTTAGCTCAGGGCTTCATTGTGTATGTTTGTATTAGTTATAGTTGTTTTCCATGAACATCTAGCTTACACACTGTTCGCCTGCTACTGTGGTACTTTACATCACTAGCGTGCCCCTTCTCATGCTCTAAACCTGTTTCATACTTATATTGGCAGATATACAATGTATAGCATTATATTATTATTATTGCCAATAAAAATGAATGTTTAGTCTTTTTCATGCTATCCATTACTTTTGCTTGTCCATTATATACCAAGTTTCAAGTTAAAATCAGTCACTATGCATTCTGATTTTGTGTTAATTTACTTACCAATTACATTGATGTGGAATATGTTTGCGCTTAAACAAAGAAACAATTCAAACATTAGTGGAAGATATGCAACATATACCTGCTATTTGTTATTATTTTTAATTACATGGGACTTGTGTAATGTTTTTCAGTGTATTTTTCTTACTGCCACTGCCGCAGTGACTATTTCGATCAGTGATAATATAATACAATTCTTGGTTAACCTCAAATCTGGTTAAGTGACGTATTGCGGATGCACAAAGATAAAAGTTTTTAAAGTATGCGCATAGAGGCTTTGTTTGGGTTTGTATCATCACACAACAAGCAGACAAGATTGCTGAACTCCTAAACATCTTTGAGATAATAAAGAATTTTTTTTTTTATATTTTGCAATAAATGACTTTATATTCAAGTTATAAATGTGCCTAACACATTGTATTAAGGAGTACCCAAACCAAAACCTGCCTCACAACTGTCCTGCTTTTGATGGGACAGTCCTGATTTTGGGTCCTGTCCTGCCATTCTGCCTTAGTTCCCCAGTGTCATGCAGCGTGAGCAGTTTGGGTGGGCTCACCCCTTTATGGGCTTCACTAGTGATGCAATTTGTGTCAATTCTTATTTCTTCTTGTGTAAAAGTCTCGCTCTTTGTCTATTTTTTTAGCATATTGATCCAATCATCTCTTACTTTAGCTCCCATTATAATTATCCCTGTCATTTATGTCTCTCACTCTCCACTTCTCATCTATTTCTTTTTATCTGGCTATTGTGGTATTCCTTTCATCTCTGTCTCATTCTTTCATTCTGTCGCCTTTAACTCCAACTTTAGTTGTCTATTTTTTGTTTATAGCTGTGTCAATTCCTAAACTCCTATATTTTAGTATTGAGGTGGACTTCATTCAGGCAATATATTGGAGGGAGCTCGAATGAGATCTTGTCTTAAATCTCCTTGACTCTGCTTCCTTATTTTGCGTGTGACTTTCAGATGGATGGCGATGGTATATTTCACTATTGCTTATCACAAATGTCTATACACTGAAAGGGAGAAGAGTTTAGAGGTATGTGAGCAGGCAAATGCTCAGATTTCATGCTATCCATGGATCAACAAGTTTACCGTATATCTCCGAAATGTCCTTTATTCAGTGGGATTCTCCAAAGTTATCTGGATCAACAATCTAGAAAACCAGTGTATTTGTATCTTATGAACCACTTCTTGGTAAACTAGAAAAGGTGCTCTCTCCCCCCAAAATGCTCATGACTGCACAAATATATGTGTATGTATAGCCTCTGTTGATTGGTTGACATACCACACAATGCATTATCCATAATCAATACTTTTCGCTAGCATGTTTCCTGTTCATTCAAACCTAGTCACTTATAACATTCATAACTGTCAATTTTGAGACAATGCTAATTTGGAATAATCCTTGGTTATTGAATCCATGCTCAAATATGCATGAGCACACAGGGGTCCTGGGGGGGCCTGATAGGGGCTGGATCCCTTGGTGAAGTGATCTATCTAAAGCTTTAAATCTGATTTTGGCAACAATCCGTTGTTAGCTTAATCCCCCTGGAATAATACCTATTATGCAGTGGGGTAAAGAGTTAATACAACATGACTTGGGTTTTAAACTTACACTCAGCCATCCAACATTTTAACCAGCAAGCACATTTCTTCCTTAAACAGTTGGCGCACATACCTGTCGGGTCAGAAAGTATATCGATGGACTTGCCCAAGACAGTTTCCAAGTATGAAATTTAATTTTATCTAGCGACATTCGACTCTGGAAGCATAATTTCTTCTAACATCAACAAGTCAATGAAGAAATTATGGACTCAAAATTTAGTCCTATGATCCACACATCTCTGATGTCCCCCATATATTGCTGAAACATTTTTTTTTTTAAACTTACTTAAATTCATCCATTTATCGCATCAGCATGGAGAAAGCATGTGACAAGCATATGCTGATTGTGCTATTGAAGGGAATAGCTCAGCTGAATTGTAAGTGAGCAGCAGACGCACTGTGAAAAAATGAAACAAGCGGAGGTTTCTGTGTTTATAATGCTTGATTTGTGCAGACATTTCATGCCCTGGGGAATTGTTTTCAAAGGAACAGCTTGTGGTTTTAATAAGCATGATGAACACGCTGAAAGGAATGCGTTTGTGGACAGGAGCTTACATAATAGTAGAATGAGGCCTACTATGTCCTAATAACTAACTGACAGCTATGGATGTAATATGTGTTCTCTAACGCAACGTAATTTTTTTTTTTTTAAATTTACCGACTCCCCTCCTATATAATTTGTCCAGAAAATGCAAATAATTACCCTTAAGTATATAGTTTAACTCCATTCCATTTCCAGAATCTAACACTGCCTCCGGAAAGGTTCTACATTTAAAGGTATATGTGATGCTCTTGTCCCATAATTATATTTGCAAGTAACCCTATTTTGTGCTTTATCACACCCAGGACTGGTGTGGAAACAAAATGCAGCACTGAAACAAAAAGACCAGCCCTATATTGTAGCTAGTCATTAGTGTGCACATGCCCAATATACTTTTTAAAAATGTATTAAAGGGACACTATAGTCACCAAAACAACATTAGCTTAATGAAGCAGTTTTGGTGTACAAATCATGTCTCTGCAGTCTCACTGCTCAATTCTCTGCCATTTAGGTGTTAAATCCCTTTGTTTATGAACCCTAGTCACACCTCCCTGCATGTGACTTGCACAGCCTTCCATAAACACTTCCTGTAAAGAGTCATCTAAAGTTGATTCTTCCTTTATTGCAAGTTCTGTTTAATTTAGATTTTATTATCCCCTGCTATGTTAATAGCTTGCTAGATTCTGCAAGAGGCTCCTGTATGTGATTAAAGTTTAAGTTACAGAGAAAGAGATACAATTGTTTAAGGTAAATTACATCTAATTGAAAGGGAAACTAGTTTTTTTCATGCAGGCTGTGTCAATCAGAGCCAGGGGAGGTGTGACAAGGGCTGCATAAACAAAAACAGAGTGATTTAACCCTAAATGGCAGTGAATTGATCGGTCAAACCTGAGAAGCATGACCTATACACTAAAACTGCTTCATTAAAGGATAACTATAGGGTCAGGAACACAAACATGTATTCCTGACCCTATAGTGTTAACACCACCATCTAGGCCCCCTGGGCCACTCATGCCTCCATAAATATAGTAAAAATCTTATTGTATTCAAGCCTGAAGCTGTAAATCTGCATGCTGTTAGACTCAGAAAAACAAGCAGTATGGTGACATGTGGTAGCCTGAGCCAATCACAGTGCTTCCCCATAGGATTGGCTGAGACTGACAAAGAGGCAGAGCTAGCATGATTCAAACACAGCCCTGGCCAATCAGCATCTCCTCATAGAGATGAATTGAATCAATGAATCTCTATGAGGAAAGTTCAGTGTCTGCATGCAGAGGGAGGAGTTACTGAATCACATGATGCTGTGCACAGTGCTGCCCTGTGCTCTGCTGACAGCAGATCTGAGTGGATGGAGGCATATTATGCCTCCATCAACTCCGAAGTCCCTCTGGTTCACTCTGAGTGACTGCAACTGGAAGTGTTCCTAGCTTTCAATGTAAACACTGTATTTTCACAGAAAATACAGTGTTTACATGAGAAAGGCTGCAGGGAGCTATAGTTCTCACCTGAACAACCTTATTAGGCTGAAGTTGTTCAGGTGACTATAGTGTCCCTTTAAGCTAAAGTTGTTTAGGTGACTATAGTGTTCCTTTAAAGCTATTTTGAGATGTCTGTCTACGAAAGTGATTTATGGCACCTGCCCCACAGTACCAAAGCATTAAATACATTTCCATAGTATGCCTAGCTGTGCCTAGAACCACCTGAACATTAAAATAAAACACTTAAAAGAACAACCTATGGCTAATGTTCCATTCGTTATTAAGTGTGCAAAACAATAGATGTGACTTAAAAGGTACACTGTCGCTTATCAGAATTTTTATATTAAGTTTACTTATCCTCTATATTGAACAAATATGCATTTGTGACATTTGTGACATGTGAATGATAAAAGTAAATGTCTAAACCTACACCTCTTTATCCTGCAACTGTGTGCCTCCATCTTAACTGTCTGTCAGTCATCGTTACAAACTATTTTTTATAACGATTTGTATCTTGCAGTGCAACTGTCATTTTACGAACACGTTGATAAATCTCTGCCATTGTTTATATATTTAAAAGAAGAAAAACTACCACAACAAGAGGACATAGTCTTAAATTAGAGGGACAAAGGTTTAAAAATAATATCAGGAAGTATTACTTTACTGAGAGGGTAGTGGATGCATGGAATAGCCTTCCAGCTGAAGTGGTAGAGGTTAACACAGTAAAGGAGTTTAAGCATGCCTGGGATAGGCATAAGGCTATCCTAACTATAAGATAAGACTAGGGACTAATGAAAGTATTTAGAAAATTGGGCAGACTAGATGGGCCGAATGGTTCTTATCTGCCGTCACATTCTATGTTTCTATGTTTCTATTTTTCCTCCTCTGTAGCAATGTTTGCCCTGGCTTTGCCTTGTCTGAACTGTATTATGATATAATTTCCTAAATCTTTAATAGAATGAAAAAGGTTGAAAACAAGTTATAGGTTCTAAAAAGGCTGGCACGCCTCTTCAGTGGACTGAGCAGCCCATCTCCCAATATTGGGAGGTATGCAACTCTTCCAACTAAAAGTGTTGACACACTTATCAGAAGGCATGTTAAGGTAACATTCCAAGCACCATAACCAATTACTGTAGTTGTCATAGTGCAAGGAAGATATGTGATTACATCAGATAACATACCTCCCAACTGTCCTGGGTTTTGCAGGATTGTCCGGATTTACCAATCCTGTCCTGGGATTGTTCCCTTGTGTCCCAGAAAACTGTCATCGATTCACGTATCATATAAGACATGCTTGGTGTACGCAGACTAAATTCTGGAAATTAAGTTCTATGCCCAAAATGCTTCACAA